TCTCTCTCTCTCTCTCTCTCACACACACACACACACACACACACAGCTTCTGCTTTTTGTGCCCTTCCTGGGCTTCACCCCCACTGCCAGCATGGCTGCCAGTGCCACAGTCTGCAACTCAATGTGAAGAAACCCTATTGTAAAAGCACATAGCCATTTTTCCTCATAAAACCAGTTTCTACATTTGCCTCATCACAAGACATGAATCACCTGGGATACTTGCTAAAAATATGGATTCTTGGCGCCCACCCCGCAGTGATGGCAGCTTAAACAAGCCACTCTAGATGGCTCCTTGGAAAGTTTAGTAAGTAATGTTTAGAGGCACAGGGTCACAGCCATGGCCCACTTTGAAATTTCCCAGCAGACTCTAGAAGCCCACAAATGAGTGTTCTCCACATCTGGTGTTCTGGTTCTTTTTATCTCAATGAAGTCTGGTAATAATACTCTAGAGTAGGGCTGTCACTTACAAACATGGAAATACACACTTCTAAGGGCTCCTTGGCTCAGTGACCTTTGAGAATTAAATATACTCCTAGCAAACTACATTGAAAATGAAACAGAGCACATTCTTAACACCCCATAAGGTCCTTTGGTCCATTCCCCCCAATCCCTACCCAGGGAGCCCTGCCTGCCTGAGGTGTGGTTTCTCACTTCTCCCTGGCAGCTTCGGAGGAGTGGAATCAGGCGATGTGTATGTGTTGGAGAATATATTTGTTCACCATAAAGAATAAGGAAGCAGGGCCAGGTGTTCTCTACCAGCCGCAGCTGTGCAGCTGGGATCCATGCTGTAAATTTTTCATCGGGCCTTTAACAAGCTGTGTTCCCTCTAGTCGGTTTCAGGCAAACTAGGAAGCTGCATGCAGGTTGAGCTCCAAGTGTTGCACTTTTAAGTCTCCTGGCTCCTGAGCCAAACAGGTCTGAGCCATGACCCAGAGCAGGAAGAAGTCAGAGTAGTGGGTTCTGGCTCCATCTTCTGGCCACATCGGTATTTTGGCAGGTGCCTGACTGGACACTAGAGGGAGATGGGAAGATTGGGAGATGGAAGATTCCGTAGCAACACTCACTAGTGTTCAGCTGGCCAGGTGTATCCAGTCTGTGGCCTGCAGCCCACAACAACTAATGTTCAGAGGGCCCAACCAAGGCTGCCAATCTGCTTAAGATAGGAGCTTTCCCTTGACTGTGCAGATCTCAGTGTGACATCTATACATGACAGTGTTGTGTTGCCATGTCCAAAGGTTGAACGGACATGCCTGACTGTAGGCAGTACCGGGACCCCTCTGTGATGCTCGGTCCTCAAACATGCCTTTGCCTTCTACCCACAGATTACTCCATCATGCAGGCAGTGCAGGCCACCATGATCCTCTCCACCATCCTCTGCTCCCTCTCCTTCCTCATTTTTCTGCTGCAGCTCTTCCGCCTCAAGCAGGGAGAGAGGTTCATCCTGACCGCCATCATCCAGCTCATGTCATGTAAGTGAAACTGGAAGCAGTCTCTACTGCCTGCCACGGAAACAAAAAAGTCTAGAACTGAATCTTTAAATCGTACGTTGTTCAGGTAGCTGGCAGTCTTGGGGGCCAGAGCAAAGCCTGCCTTTCGATCCTTTTCCTGGGCTCCTCCATATGCAGAGCCAGAACAAATGAAAAATCAGTTCCAAGTTCAGGCATATCCTTCTGGCTGGGCAGCTTGTTTCTGAGATTCCCCATTCCCATCATCATCTCTCTTGCAAACACCAAGGCCACAAGGTCTTGCATTCCTTTTTAGTCACCAATTTGAATGACATCTAGATTTAAGGTTAACTCGGAACAAACAGACCATTAGCAACACGTACATGCAGATTCCTTCGTGCAGAAAGGACTCAAACACTCTCTTCTTAGGGTTCTTATGTGTGGCCCTGCACTGTGCCCCCACCAAAATCACTGGAGGAGGGAAGTCGGGGAACACACTTAATATGGAGGAGTTTGGATTTAGTTGTGGGGAAAGGGAAGGAGTCCCCAAAGCATGAAGCCCGCCCGAGCTTGGGTTTTATGAGAGTAACAACTGCAGTCTACAATGTGTTGTCTGGGTACACAGTAGAAGGAACAGTGTGCCAGGTAGAAGTCCTAGGATGAAGAACCCAGAGCTATGAGAGCTGGAATGTGGAGGGGCAGAACGAATGGGTTCTCATAAGCTGTGGAGGGGACTTGGGGTCCATGTCCTAAGCTGGTGGGAATCCATTAACAAGTGTTAGGCTAGTTCCCGGATACACCATGGTCTGCAATATATCTGACCCCTGGCTTGGTTCCTACAGGTCTGTGTGTCATGATCGGGGCTTCCATTTATACAGACCGTCGCCAAGACCTTCACAAACAATACAACGACGACGTCTATTACATGATGCAAGAAGGCACCTATGGCTACTCTTTCATTCTAGCCTGGGTGTCCTTCTCCTTCACTTTCATCAGCGGCCTCATGTACATGATCCTGAGGAAGCGCAAATAGGTTTCAGGAGCCCGGCCACTCTCCCCACAGTATGGCATACACATTCACGTAACCATTTTGTATATAATCATTTTTTTTGTGGTTTTTCTAGCAAACCTATTGTTTCCTTTAAAATCTTTTATAAAAAAAGAAGAAAAGAGAGAGAAGAGTTTCTTCGTTCTTGTGATCAGAGACTACACCACAAAGGCTGGCATTCAGAATGCAAGCCCACTGAAAGTCTCTGCAAGGGCCAGCAAGATCCAGCAATGTGGAAATCTGCAGGAAACCTCTCACCCAAGGACCTGGGGTGGGGTGTGGCCAAAGGTGGGAAAAGCCTGTCTTCAGGGACAAGTTCTCTGTAGGTTTCTGCCCCGCCCCCTCCCCCTGCTCACTCTACTCTGACAGTCACAGGTGGGATGATGAGGAGCCCAAGTGAGGGCTGTCTATCCTCAGATATTAACCCCTAGTTCGTGTAAGAAGGCAAAGACTGGCCCTGGTTTGTCTGTATGGGACCTAGAGCCCCAGTCCCCCTACAGTGAGTTAGGTCATCATGCAAACTTTCTGACAGGCTCCTGTTTACCTTAAGCTTAGTGACCCTTAACTGAGATGTCATGTGTAGGCATTGAGTCTCCATAGGTAATTCCTTAGGGCATCTGTTACATGCAGTCTCAAGTCCACTTCAAAGACCCTCAGAATCATTCACCAAAAGGGTGGGCCTGCAGTATACTTAGATGAACTAAAACTGGGGGTCAGAGTCCTAGAGCGAGGGGAGCAGAGCCACCCTGTAAATGGTAGCAGTCTCATCACACTGAAATGGCCCCACTGCCAGCCACATCTTGGCCTCCACCAGCTCTTGCTACTTCTCCCACAGCTGCTTATATTGGGGCCACTTGTGCCCCACCCCCAGGCCATAAGCCTCCACCCGGGAGGTGGGCTGGGCAGCTTCCTCCCTGTCCTGTCCTAGAAGGGCTTTCCTTTTCTTCTCACTCTTCTTTCTAAGGTGGGTGCTTCCATTAGGCCCCTATTTCTGGAGTCTCAGAAGATCCATCTTCCATTCATTCATCTACCTGTCATTCAACATGGATTGGTCTTGCCCTGTGTCAGGTCAAGGGTTACCTTTCAAAACAATTCCTTGTGAGACTCAGTCTAGTGAAGAATACACACCAGAAACCAACTATAAAAACTACCAACCGTGATGGAGCAGCAGGGACCCCACCAGAGTCAAAACCTCCCAGGGCGATAGGAAGCCCACTTTCTGCATACTTGACTATAAGTGTCTCGAGGTGCCTGTGCTTCTGTAGAGGATCCCACACTTCCCACAGTGAGACAGCGGGAAAGGATTCCCAGAGCCATGGCTCTCAAGATGGGCATTGAAGGAGAATCCGGCTGTACTCCAGTCAATTCCAAGGATGCCCTGATAAATGTGGCCATGGGAAGGTTGTTAGTAGCACTGGAGGAGTGATGTGCCATACCCGAGGCCCAAGAACTCTAGGATGGCAGCTTTCTCCCTTTGGTACCCTTTCCCATCTTTTGAGCATCAAGTCGGAGAGGTGACTCTGGGACAGGGTGTGCAGATTTGCCTTGTTTAAACATATTCACATGTGAGCTTCTGTTGAGGGGTTGTTTACCTTTAGCTCAGTACCAGTGAGGCTGGGGGATTGGGTCTCAGTGGCTTTAGGGCTACCACAGACACCTCCTCAGTACAAGCCTGGCTTCCCTCCCTTCATCTCTCCTATCCCCTTTCCTTCCTTCCCTTGAAGACCTGCCAAGGAGAACCTCCCACAGCTCACTGTTGGCTATATTGTAGGGTTGGCTCACTGTCTTGTGACGCTCAAGGAGGTCGGCCTGTCTAAAGTGTCCTCTACACCTTCCCTGTGGGGACTTTTCTGCCATAACGTCCTCTAGTCATGATAGAGACAAACAGCCCAACCCACAGGCATGGAAGTGTGGCCTGAGCCAGCACAAATACCCACCTCAGAAACCCAGAGCTGCAGAAGGAACCGTCTGATGTGATGGGGATGGTCCTGTGGGTTGTCTTGGCTGCTTGCCACTGTGGCCAACATCCAGTGCCCACATCTAGCTGTGACATGAGAGGTGCCTCTCCTCTGCTCTGTGCCCTGCACTTGGGATGCTAGAAAGAGATGCGGATGTGAGGAAGAACAGATCCACCCTTCTATGTAGGATCAGCTCTCAATTGGTGCTTATCACTAGTTACCAAAGATCAACGACAAAGTCAGCTGGGATATCCAAGAAGCATGTATTAGGACCAAACCCATCACTGTATTTAAAGGAACTCTAGTTTGCGCATCTTACAACATTTTTATAAAGTACTGTAATTCATGGGGTGGGGCATGTGACAGAGACAGACTAACCCATGTTTGTCATTTGCATTAAAATTATTTTGGGTCTCTGTTTAAAGAATTCAGATAATGTTTGTGTGTTGTGTGTTCATGGTCCTGGATGCAGAAGCAAGATGTCTACTGTTCCCTTCTGCCGTATTCCAATGGCTGTGGGCCTGTGTATACCCAAGCAAACAGGCTGACATTCCAGAGTGTTCCCTATGAACTGAAGCTAGATGGGGACAGTCTGAATGTGTACCCACTATGCCCAAATGTAGACCCACTGTACACAGCCACCCCCTCTCCTCCAGGAGCTCTACCAGCAAAACCACCCAAGTTGGGGTTGTCACTTGCCACATAGCAAAGCAGAGGTGACAGGGAAGTGCTACAGAAGCTGAGAGCTTACTGTTGACTCTTGTTTGGGGACAGGTGTGATTTCAGGCAGTAAGATGCTATCTAATATTCCTTCAGGGCAGTTTTTCTTCTGTTTTCTATAACCTACAACTGTACATGAAGAATTGTACAACCAAATTCCCCAAATTCCCTATGAAGATAGCACCTAGAGTCAGATTCTGGAGTGGGGGAGAGCCGTGGGAGATCCCATCAACACGGTGACATGAGCCCTGCCTGGCTGTACAGGCCTACTATCCCAGTTCTCCGGAGGCTGTGTCAAGTTCAAGATCTTCCTGGGAAACTTGGTGAGACCCAGGATGGAGGTGTAGCTCAGAGACAAGGACTTGCCTAGCATACAGGTGCTGGTTCAGGCCTCGGTACTGGGAGTATATGTGGGGGGTAGGGGTGGTGTATGGATTTTATGGCAAGCAACCAGTGGCTGACAGTTCTTCACAAGATAAACTCCACCCCTTCCATTGGTGTAGTGGCTGCTCACACCTGTACACAGAGCTTGGTGGCTGTGCATGGTGGAACACTCTCTGAAGACTTCCAGTGATCACATGCGATCCTTTCTCAAAAACAAAAACCGTCGTGATCTTGGGGCCAGTGGCCCCACATGGCCTTCTTTTCTTTCTTTCCCTGCCTTTTTAAAAACAAAAACAAAAACAAAAAAACACAGGTTCCTGGAATCAAACTTAGATTTTTGTGTTAGCAAGGCAAGCCAGTACTTGATCTATAGATATGTAGCCCCAGCCCAAATTGAAGTGTTGTTTTGTTTGTTTGTTTGTTTGTTTTGTTTTGGTTGTTTGAGAAAGGAGAAAGACAATATGGACACAAAACCTAAAATATTTTGTTGGAGGAGCCAGTGATACCCACCACCCTTGGAGTGGTGCTGGATGGCACCAGCAGCAAAGACCACCCCACCCCATCCCACCCCCACCCCACCTCTTTGAGAAAATCTCCTGATGAGGTTGTGGGAGTTACTAAGTCTGCTACCAATGGAACACAACCTTCGCTGATTTCTCCTAATCTCAATGTATTCATTATTAGCCATGGGGCTATGTTCCATTTTTTCCCCTTGTAGCATACTCCCGCATTGATAGACATTTATAGTTTGTGATTAGATACCAACTCAAAATTTACCAAACAGTGGCCCCATTTATCTGTAGGTTCCACATCCATGTGTCCTGGATTCAGTCACTCTCCAATAAAAAATAGGGAGCTGGAGAGGTGGCTCAGAGGTTAAGAGCACTGGCTGCTCTTCCAGAGGTCCTGAGTTCAATTCCTAGCAACCATATGGTGGCTCTCAACCATCTGTAATGAGATCTGGTGCACTCTTCCGCCTTCAGGCATACAAGCAGGCAAAATACTGTATATAAGTAAATAAACCTAAAAAAAAAGGGATCCCATCCAATAAAAAAATATTTTGGGGTTGCTGGGCAGTAGTGGCACACACCTTTAATCCTAGCACTCGGGAGGCAGAGATAGGTGCATCTCTGTGAGTTCAAGGCCAGCCTGGTCTACAGAGCAAGTGCCAGGATAGGCTCCAAAACTACACAGAGAAGCCCTGTCTCGAAAAACAGGGTTTATGTTTGTGTGCTGTGTGGTGTATGTACGTGTGTGTGTGTGTGTGTGTGTGTGTGTGTGTGTGTGTGTGTCAAAGTGTCTTTCCTCAATTGCTTTCCATTCCTTTATTTTTAAATTAATTTGTTTTAAAGTTGTTTAAGAATGCATACTGCTCTTGCAGAGAACCTAAGTATAGTTCTTAGCATCCTCGTGGTGGCTCAAAACTGTCTATGGCTCCAATTCCAGAGGATCCAACACCCTCTTCTGGTCTCCATGAGCATCAGGTACACAATTGATGCTCAAGACAGTCAAAAAAAATTCACACCTATAAAAATTAAATTTAAAAAGTGCTCTAGGTGCAAATGTGCTTGGTTCATAGACACACAAACAACACGGTTTTCTACAAGGGATGTGAGCATCCATGCATTTGGCTCTTTGAGTCTGACCTCTGCCCATCAAGTCCCTGGGCCACTGGATCCCAGCAGAGTAGGCTATGTGTCTGTGCATTCGGGTCTAAGTGTTTGGCTTGTTTGTCCTTGTCAGACACGTGCAAGGGGAGCCTCTGGTTTTGGTGCAAACATCTTTAATGCCATTTTGAATGGACACACTGTGAAGAGTGTTTTGTGCATTTTTCTTGGGTGAGTTTTCCTAGCAAGTGCTTCATGCTGTCTCTCTGGGCAGAGTTCTTGGCCTCAGTACACTGATATTGAGGGTGCAGAATTCTCTGGTGTGGGCTGTGTTAAGCACCCCCGTAGTTCCCTCAGCATCTGTGGCTTCCTGGATGAACACAGGGCACTCTCCCATGCCACTGTGTCACAACAAAATCTCTTCACACATTGCTAAATGTCCCTTGTGCAGAGCTGGGGCACAGCTGTCCTGATTGGTCCCTGCAATGAGGGGTACGTATGCACAGGTGTGCGTGCGTGCATGCGTGGGTGCATGCATATGTGTGTGTGTGTGTGTGTGTGTGTGTGTGTCTGTGTCTGTGTGTGTTTACATGTGTTTGTTAGTCTCTGCAGAGGCCAGAAGAAGGTGTTGGATCTCTTGGACCTGGAGTTAGAGAGCTGTGAGCTGCCTGATGTGGGCTCTAGAAACTGAACTCCCGTCCTTTGTAAGGGCCAGTGTTAACTGCTGAGCAGTCTCCTCTGCCTTGGGTCACATCTCTTTAACCGTCCATCTATTGTTATTCATGGGAAAGCAAGAACAGTAGGATTGGATCTAACCAGCTTCCTGGAGGCAGCAGTTGCCTTCACTACTGATGGATGAGGCAGAACAGGAGAGTGTGGACTGGGTGTGGACAGGAGCTGGGACCAAGGCCCTGCCTCTGGGAAAAATGACAGGGCTGAATGAAGAAGGCCTTCCAGCAGGGTCTGCAGTCGCCTAGAGAACTTCAGACAACTCAGTAGCCTCCACACCTTAGAGAGAACTGGCCTGCAGGCTGCATCCAGGCCTGGTCATAGTTGTAGTCACCACCAGAATCCCTCTAAGGGGACTCTGCCTCCACATGCCAGTCAGCCTGACAGCTTGTTTGTGACACAGGTACCGGCCAGACAGGCAAGTGGCAAGGCAGGGCCTCCAGCAGTGCGTTTCCTGGGTGGGTTCCTCCTGCCCCATCTCCGTGTTTGGAAGGCTCTTCAAGATTAGCCAGCTAAAATTAAGGTCACTTTCCAGACGTGTAGAACATGGACTAAGCCCCAGGCTTGTTATATGGGAGCCTTGGGGCTGAGACCCTGGAATCTGCTGCCTTAACAAGCCTTCCCAAAGGATGTTGGTGGGTTACAGCCCTGACTACTTCTCAGGATTCAAGGCTCTGCAGATGAGCCAGTTGGCTCAAATTAAGGGGGCAGTTATGACCCAGGGCACCTGAACTTGCCTCCTCAGTCATGTCTCTTCCTCCCTGAGGATGAAAGATTGTGCCCACAGGTCTATTTGTACACATACAAACATACAAACAAATAAATAGCATGCAGTAGAAGGGGAGTGTGTCAGGGAAGGAAGGGGCAGAGAGGAGAAGAAAATAAAAGAGAGGAATGTGGGAAAGAAGGACAAGGACAAAGGGGTTTTTTTCTCATATGCAGAAGCCAGGTGATATATATATATATGTGTGTGTGTGTGTGTGTGTGTATTTGTGTGTGATATATATGTTTGTGTGTGATGTATGTTTGTGTGTGTGATATATGTGTGATATATGTGTGTGTGTGTGTGTGTGTGTGTGTGTGTGTGTGTGTGTGTGTGTGATATATATGTATGGCATGACAGTAGAAAATATATATATGTGTGTATATATATATGTGGTATATATATATGTGTGTGTGTGTGATATGTATATATATATGTGTGTGTGTGATATATGTGTGTGATATGTATATATATGTGTGTGATATATATATGTGATATCACATATATATATGGCATGACAGTAGAAAATAAAAATGTTGTGACTTGAATGGTGCACTAACACACACTTGGGAGGTAGAGGTGGGAGGATCAGAAGTTCAAGGTCAGGCTGGTGAGATGTTTCAGCAAGTCAGTGTGCCAGCTGCCAAGCCTGAAAACGTGAGTTCAGTTCCTGGAACCACATGGTGAAGGAGAGACTAATTTGTCCTCTGACCTTCTCAGAAACACCATGTACACACACACCCACACACACACACACACACACACACACACACACACACACACACACACGTAACAAATGTTTGTAAAAAGAAGTTCATGGTCATCCTTGGCCATGTGTTGGGTTAGAAGCCAGACTTGGCTACATGAGACTATCTTAGCACACCTACTCATAGAAAAAAAAAGAAAATAAATATAATGCCTTGAATTAATATTGTGGAGGCAAAAATACTTTTTATAAACAATAAACGGTTTAGAAATTTTAAAAATGCATGCTAATCCTCTGAGGTGGTATTTGCTTCATTTGGAGCTGCTAAACACTCCTTACTTTATTAGCTGTCCCTTCATGAGGCCACCTAACAGTTCAAAGTGTTTGACAGCACAGAACCCAGGCCTGGCCCTTAAATCCTCTGGCAGGCTCTTGGGAGGTGATGGGAGGTGACGGGGCTGATGGGGGTGACGGGGGTGATGAGGGGTGATGAGGGGTGATGGGAGGTGATGAGGGGTGATG